GTTTCGGAAATGTAAACATAACAGAAGAACAATTTAATCAATTTGATTCTGGACGTTACAGAACGATCACATCATCCAATTTCTAATTTGCCGACAAGTTCAAACACAATCTTAGCCATTCCACTGCTTAATGAAATTTCGCTATCCCGACAAGATGATGACTGCGCTATCAAAACACTCGCTACTTATTATAATAATAGAAATTGGGATCGTGCTAAATTCTGCCAGATTTAATGAGAGTGAAAGATTTGAGCGAATGTTATGTAAGGTTAAAATCAGGACCAACCTCCGGCTCCTGAGTTCTCACTAAAACTACTCTCCTCTTAAAACACTTAAAAAGTTCTAATTTTTGTAACTTCAAAAACATTAACAAATAGAACAAGCAGCATTGGTTCCAATTATGCAACTCTTTTCTTAAATACTCAACTTTGAGCTGAGTTATGAAAAGGAACAATGCGAATTTTGTATTTCGTTCATAATGTGGCCGTGATAGGATAATACTAACGCCTTAGAAGAAAAGAGTAAAAACGATAAAGCAATCTTACAAAAGCATCAATCAAAGAATTAAGTATCTTAGAAAACTGCTAATTTTACTTGAGCTGTACCCTAATTACGGAAGTTTTGGTGGGAACCAAGTGATTTTTGGGTAGACACGAACAGCAGAAGTACGACGAACAATATGTTGAGCCGGGGGCTCCTTATAAGCAAAACGGAGCTGACCCGAGCACAAACTACATGTAAACGGATTACATGCTTGGAAGGAGATGCCGCCGCGTAGGAAAACGTCTAGTGCACAAGTGTCACTCGCTCCTGAGTGATTAGCTACACAAGAAAGAATGGCTAATAAAAGAAATGAAATTAAATGAGGATTCTCCGTAGGCTATTAAAACTATGGATTGTATGGATAATTACAAAATCATCAAAAAGTATGATCGAATTCAAAAATGCCGACTTTTACATTTTTTAAATGAGAAAAAATGCCATAGGAGAACATGCAAGTCTCGCCGTGGAGGCGTACGCTGTACTGGTTGTAGTCCTGTAGTCTGCAATTTTGCAGTACAAGTGCTGTATGAACTTACTTGTTCGCATTTATAGATATGCTTAGTGTCCGCATGGAAGCCGCAATTTTTTATGGGACGGCATATATTTGGTATGAAGGATGGTCCTGAGTATCTGCGAATGCTTTATTTGGAGAAGCAAACTGGGAAATCTCTAATCAACAAGGTGTGTCAAATGAATGAAATTCTTGGAAACTTATCCTGATCTTTCTAACAATCTTTAATCTGAGAATAGGACTTTAAAGAGTCCCAAGGCAGGCACATTAGCAGCTGAAGCATATTTCGAACAAAAGCTTGATCACTTCGACACTAGCAATACGAATACCTGGAAGCAGGTAAAATGCATTT